TGTGTGTGTGTGTGTGTGTGTGTGTGTGTGTGTGTGTAACGAATGCACGGCCGCAATTTTCGACGGATTTCCACCAAAATTTACATGCGCATGCTCCAAGTTAGCGGGAAGGCCAAGACCGACTTTGCATTTCTCAACTCTCATCGATAGTGGAAATAATCGATTTTTTCATGCTTCTACGGCATGTTTTCATGTAGTTTGTAGGAAGATTCTACGGGCCAGCGTGAGAGCCTATAGCTGGCTGCCACGAATAGGCAGGAAGATTCTATTGGCCAGCGTGAGAGCCAACAGCTGACTGACACGAATGTTAACTAGCATGCAAAACAAATCGATAGCTGCAGTCGTCACAAGTGGGAAAAATTTAAATCTGCATGGCACTTTACTCCAATTGGCTCATTCGCTTGCTTAAACTCAACGTTGATTCTGATTCCGCAGAACTGGGTTGGGTGTGAAAAAGTATTTGTTGTTAACATTCTTTTTTCATTCGGTTTTTCCAGTTACGAGTTCTTTTTTAAAGCTGATCGTTTTGTGTTCATTGTCTTTAGTTCTTTTTTCGTAACAGATTTAATGTTTACTATAGAGCTTAGAAAAAATTTCGCAGTGTGAGATAGGCAAGAAGTAAGGCATGTAGCAACATCAGCACCGAAAAGGGCACTCCTTTAAAGGCAAGGAAGGGTAAAACTCTTTTAAGTCAAGTGATAGCGATTGCTGTATGAATCATACGATTTTAGAATCAAGCATGCTGCTAGTTGCAAATGGAATGTCTTGATATATAGTGTTTCACATAATAAGAATTCCTGCATTATATATGCTGCACAGAACTTATAAATCATAAGTTATTTACACCATTCACTATGCATCACATGTAATGCAAATGTAACAATCATTTCAATAAAGTGTAAAAATAGATATCTCATTTCAGACGCTAAATCATTGGCCTAGCGTCCGGTGGTCATATTTGATGAGCAAAATATTTGATTAGGGAGTTCCTCAGATATCCTGCTCAAAAGTAGACTCTTTTCTTAAGCATCCTTAGTTTTACCGCTCTTTTAAAACCATGGCGCGTGTACACCACATATGATATCCTGACGTAGAAATCACATGTTCTTTCCATCGTATATGAGACGCAGGACAGACACACTGTAAAATCCTGTGGGTGAACCCAAATTTTGGCTCTTTGTGTCCGATCTATAGACAATCGCTTCACACGTCAAAAGGTAAATTGAAGCGTCAGAGATGTCGTTCTGCCGTCAAATGAAGAGAATATCACGGATAGAACACCTGAGTAACAGGAAGGTTCTAAGCACAGAAATGACAATAATTACAATCAGCAACGGATAGAGTGAGGCAATTCTGATACAACTAGACACCTTAGGCCTTGGTTTGATAAACTGTGCTTCTTAATACCCCGAGTGCATGAATTTAAGCGTGCTACTAGATTGGCAATTAGGTCCCACACTTTTACGGCCGAAATAACTAGACGATATCGTCATTCCTATTCTAAGAGATTATTTTCTCACACATCTCGCCCGTGGAACTAACTCACGTCCGATTTTTTGTTTTTTTTGCCAAGATTTAAATACAACGTTAATCGCCATTTTTTTTTGTTGTCCTTTCTTTAATCCTCCCCATTCTCAGTTTTATTCATTCTCATTCACTTCCCGTACCCTCCACCATGCAACCCAGTGACTTTATCGCCTTCCTTTTGGTAAAATGATTAAAAAAAGATTCAAGCAGACAACCTTTTAACTTTCTACAAATGCTAACTATTCTGATGAGCTGTTCTCACTGTTGCCTGTACTGCATGGATTTAAGTTACTCGGACATTTAGCCGACGGACATTTAGCTGAATGGACATTTAACCGAGTGGACATTTAGCCAAAAATATAGTGACGTACTTACATATATCTCACACTCTTTATCGCAATGTGCTACATATGTTTATATTTATTAACTGTATTAATTTATAATTTCCCGTTTTTTACGTTTATGATTTTTTAAAATCTATTCTGTATATATTATATGTTACTTCAAATATTACTGTAAGATGATAAGTATTTTGAGAAAAAAGCAAATTTTACTACATCAAAAATCATAAGATTTTACAATATGAAAGACCATTGCAATTTCGCTTTTAATGATCATTATCTTAAATATACTCAAATATTTAAAAAGATACTAGTTTCAATAAACAAATATTGAAATAGGCTAACTTTTAACTTTAAATTTAGATTTAGTAATTTAATTACTTGAAATTCAGTGGTAATTACTAGTCCTATTCTACCTTATAATACTACTAATTAAAATACTTAAAGTATTGCTTAGTACTATTTTTAATTGTAATTTTTCGGCCAAATGTCTGTCTATCAAATGTCTCTCGGTCAAATAGCCGTTCAGCCAAATATCTCTCAACCAAATGTCTCTCGGCCAAATGTCCGTTCGGCCAAATGTCTCTCAAACAAATCGGCCCAATGTCCGTCTGCCAAATGTATAAACGGTCAAATATTCGTTCGGGTAAATGTCTCTCAACCAAATCGGTCAAATGTCCGTCGACCAAATGTTCGTCGGCCAAATGTCTGTTGGTCAAATGTCTGTCGGCCAAATATTCGTTCGGCCAAATGTCTCTCAACCAAATCGGTCAAATGTCTGTCGGTCAAATGTCTGTCGACCAAATGTCTCTCGGTCAAATATCCGTACGGCCAAATGTCTCTCAACCAAATCGGTCAAATGTCCGTCGGCCAAATGTACGTCGGTCAAATGTCTTTCGGTCAAATGTCTGTCGGCCAAATGTCTCTCGGTCAAATATTCGTTCGGCCAAATGTCTCTCAACCAAATCGGTCAAATGTCCGTTGGCCAAATGTCTCTCGGTCAAATATTCGTTCGGGCAAATGTCCATCGATCAAATGTGTCTCGGTCAAATATCCGTACGACCAAATGTCTCTCAACCAAATGTCCGTCGGTCAAATGTCCGTCGACGAAATGTCCATCGGCCAAATGTCCGTCGGCCAAATGTCTGTTGGCCAAATGTCCGGCTACGGAATTTAATCATGCTACTCGATTGGCATCTTACTGTTTTAACTGATGAACTCGCAAGATAAAATCGTAAGTTCTATTCTAAGAGTCTCATTCCTCGCAGTTCTCGTCTGTGCATATCGCTTCCGATTTCTTGTTACCCTGCTACCTACAATTTTGAATCATCTAAATGCAACGTCAATACTTAGGAGTGGGACGATCCTGGGAAGCCCGAACAGGATTTATTCTTGGCAGACGCGATCTTAACATCATAAGCTATCCCTATGACATTGCTTTGATAACAATCACGTAAAGAGAACTATAGTGACTCCTCGAGAAAGTAGTAAAGAAAACCCGAAGAAAGAACTGGTCATAAATTGTACGAAGACAGAATGTACCTTTATCAGTAAGCGGAAATGCCTAAGATGCGAACAAAAATCAAACAAATGCTAAAATCTAAATATTGGCAAGTTATTTAACAGTAGCCGAAACCCGAAGTAGCCTTTGAATAGTAAAGGATGCATTTCGAAAGTTTAGTAAAGTTTTAAGAAACAATATAATATTATTAAGAAAAAAATATAGTGTTGAAATGCTATGTAATATTAATCCCCCAGTATGGCAGTAAATGCTGAATAATTTCTTTAGAGATGAATAAGAGACAGGATGCAAAAGAAACAAAGAAAAGATTGCAGAACACCTATGAAATATGAATCCTCGTATATGACAAGAAGGCAAGACAATTTCCTCAGAGATGACGAGCAGATTTGAAGCAAGAGAAACAAAGAAAAGAGTACTGAACTGCTATGTAATATCAATCCTCCTATATGGCAGTGAATAATGAAGAATTTCATCGCATATGGAGAAGAGACTTGAAGCAAGAGAAACAAAGAAAAGAGTACTGAACTGCTATGTAATATCAATCCTCCTATATGACAGTGAATGCTGGACAATTTCCTCACAGATGAAGAAGATACTTGAATCAAGAGAAACAAAGAAAAGAGTGCTGAACTGCTATGTAATATCAATCCTCCAATATGCCAGTGAATGCTGGATAATTTCCTTAAAGATGAAGAAGAGACATGATGCACAAGAAACAAAGAAAAGAGTGCTGAACTTCTATGAAAAGTTTATGTGAAACCTGGACAATTTCCTCCCAAAGGAAGAAGAAACTTTTGACAACAGAAATATAGCTCTAAAGAAGGATGCTTAGCACCCCGATTTTATCATTGTGATATTTTTGGATTACATCAAGTATTTATAATATAGTAACTAGAGTCCGCAAATTGGAGGAGTGAGTTATCAATGGTAATTTTCTGACTTCAAATGTGCGTTTATCCCCCTTGAATTCTCTCTCTGTTGCGGAACACTTTGCAAATATTTCTCAAATATAATTGTGTCTATCGATAAGTAAGCTTCGTCTCTACTTGAGTCTACCGGAAAAGATGAATCGTTTATAACCATTTTTACTGGTAAATATTGGTCGTTTATACGTAAGATTATAGTGAAATACTCCACGATTATACTTGACTCTATAGGCAAATAGTGATCGTTATACTTGAGTCTATAGGAAAATATTGGTCTTTATACTTGAGTCTATAGGCAAATAGTGGTCTTTATACTTGAGGCTATAGGTACATATCTGTTATTTATGACTGAGTCGAACGTACTGGCAAATTTACGTCAAAGGAGAGGAAATTGTGACGAGCCGTGATCAGCCACGACGGGACCCAACATGGCATATAGTAGAAAGCTCTCCTTACCTACAATTGTCTCCTCCATACATTTCTTCAGGTCGACGTACAATCTATTGGCTTCTTTTGTTTTGTAAGGATTTCCCATCGAGATTGAAGAATTTTTTTTTACACTTTTCTTTTTCCCAGTAGGCACCCATATAGACTCAACGCACATTAAAGTGAAAAGGAAGTCTGACTTTCATTTTTGACAAGCAGAGAATTCACATCGTACCTTATTTTTGGTATATTGATTAGGTAATCCACTTGCATATTGATCGGCTAGCCTCTGTCTATTTTGGAAAGATAATCCCCAGTTGCTCTCTGTTCTTTCATATCTATCTATCTATCTATCTATCTATCTATCTATCTATCTATCTCAGTTCGTATCTATCTATCTATCTCAGACAGTTCGTATCTATCTATCTATCTATCTATCTATCTATCTATCTATCTATCTCAGTTCGTATCTATCTATCTATCTATCTATCTATCTATCTATCTATCTATCTATCTATCTCAGACAGTTCGTATCTATCTATCTATCTATCTATCTCAGTTCGTATCTATCTATCTATCTATTTTAATCTTTGTTCATATGTATCTATCTCTGTTCATATCTATCTATCTATCTATCTATCTATCTATCTATCTATCTATATTAATGTCAGTTCCTATCTATCTATCTCATTCTGTTCATATCTATCTATCTATCTATCTATCTATCTATCTACCTATCTATCTATTTTAATGACTGTTCATATCTATCTATCTATCTATTTTAATGACTGTTCATATCTATCTATCTATCTATCTATCTATCTATCTATCTATCTCAGTTCGTATCTATCTATCTATTTATCTATCTCAGTTCGTATCTATCTATCTATCTATCTATCTATCTATCTATCTATTTTAATCTTTGTTCATATATATCTATCTCTGTTCATGTCTATCTATCTATCTATCTGTCTATCTATCTATCTATCTATCTATCTATATTAATGTCAGTTCCTATCTATCTATCTCATTCTGTTCATATCTATCTATCTATCTATCTATCTATCTATTTTAATGACTGTTCATATCTATCTATCTATCTATCTCAGACAGTTCGTATCTATCTATCTATCTATCTATCTATCTATCTATCTATCTCAGACAGATTCTATCTATCTATCTATCTATCTATCTATCTATCTATCTGAATGTTTTCATATTTATCTATATTTCTATCCAACTAATTCAGCCCATTCATATCTGTGTCAGTTAATATCTATCTATCTATCTATCTATCTCATTCAGGCTGTTTATTATCTATCTATCTATCTATCTATATATCTATCTATCTATCTATCTCCGTCTGTTCTTATATATCTACCTACGTTTTAAACACTTTTGCCGTTATATTTATTTTTTCTTTCTTTCTTCTTATCTCTCTCTGTTAATATAATATTTCTCTCTCTCTCTCTCTATCTCTCTCTCTCTATCTCTCTCTATTTATCTATCTTCTATTACATTTAATATCTTTACAGTCAACGACAAAATTATTCGTTTACCCATCAATTTTGAATATTTTTTATCCATCTCTCAGAATCTAATGCCCATATGATGCCAGGTTTTTTATATGCCAATAAATACAAAAAATGAATGTAAAATTCACTTTTTAGATCAATAGGTTAAATGCACATATGTGTCAAGCGAATTATGCAAAATAAGAAAAAGCAAAATTATTCATACAGTATGAAAACTAGGAAAACTTGATCAATTTTCACAATACTAATATTCAATTCCTCTCATCTTTATAAATTGCAATCTTTTTCTAAAGTTTTTGATGAGATTTAAACTAGTCTTTTTGGGGATTTTCTGTCATTCTTTAATGGTTACACGTTCTAAATCCTGAAGGTTTTTCATGATCGACATTTAATTCGAACTTTCAATTCTTGCCATAGATTTTCAATAGGATTCAAGTCAGTACTCATTGAATGCCATGGTAGAACTGTAATAACCTTCTGAAGCCATGCAATCACTGATAATTGGGATCATTATCTTGCTGGAAAGTAAATCTCCGACCTAGATGAAGATTTTGCGCTGATAATTGTACATCTTCATCCAGCATTTTGATATAGTCTGCAGATTTCATTATTCCTCTTATTGCAATTAATTGTCTAGTCCCCCTTGAGCTAAAACAACATCACAACATCAACGATATGCCTTCATATTTTAATGTTGCCACTATGTTCTTTGGAAGGAAAGCATCAACTTTCTTTCTCCAAATCCTTTGTCCAAAAAGCTCAATTTTTGTTTCATTGCTCCATAGAACTTGTTCCTAAAAGCAAATTTCTTTGTCCAAGGACATTTTGGCAAAATGGAACCGAATAAAATGTGACATTGTTTGTGAAGAGGGGTTCGTCGTGGCCCGTTTCCATACAACCCATTTGTTTTTAAACAACGTTGTATTGTGAGAGTACTTACGCTGTTACCTATCGTAGCCAAACTTTTGGCGATGTCTTTCAAAATAACACTTGGGTTTATATTAACCTCGCTCCACAGTTCTCATGCAGTTCTCTGTGACAATTGAGGTTTTCTGCCACGCCCAGACAAATTCTCTATCATACCAAACTTTTAAAACATCTTTATAACTGACTGTACCGTAGATCTAGGGATAGCTAACTGGTTTGAAATTATGCTGTAACTATTTCCTAACTTGTGGAAGTTAATAATTCTCTGTCTCAAGTTAATGCTAACCTCCTTTGTCTTCCGCCATCTTGTTGCTAATGTAAGAATAACAATGGTGACATTCCATGCACCACATGATGTTCTTTGCTAGAATTATCACAAATATTCTTCTGAATAAATAGTCTAGACGGCTTCACCGATAAAATAATTATATATATATTACTTATACTTACACGATTCAATCAATTTAAAACGATATTTTCTACTGTATGATTAATTTTGTCTTTTCCTATTTTAAATAATTCGCCTGTCAATTTTGTTGTATTTAAACTATTGTTCTGAAAATTGAATTTTATATTTCTTTTTTGGTGTTCACTAATATATAAAAACCCTGGAATCATACGGGTATTAGGTTCTGAGAAATGGATAACAATATTCTAAATTGGTGAGTGTATGAATAATTTCGTCGTTAACACACTCTCTCTCTCTCTTTATCTATCTATCTCCTTATATTGTAGATATATATATATATATATATATATATGAAAAGATTGTGATTAAAAAGACAGCCAGTTGATTCTTATCTATCTCATATTATATTTCTATCTATCTCCTTATGTTGCATCTATTTGTTAAGTGGATACAACGTCTAAAAACAAAATACCCAGCCGGGCTAAATCATAAATTTAACAATATATAGATAGTAACAATATATAACTCAACAAATCAAAACCTACCCACATTTCTCACCCACACAAGACAGACATGCTTACGGAGGTGTGGAGGCCTCACACTTATAAACTCACCCACACGAATATAAACACTTACACACATCATACTCACTCACTCCCTAATGAGCCAAATGATAACACACACCTACAGCAATACACACGCTTACATATATCATACTCACTCACTCCCTAAGAACCAAATAACACACACAAACACTAAACAGAGACACATCACCTCTCCAGGTCCAATAAAACTGTCAAACTGACCGGGGGAATTCAGAGAAGCATAGATCCATCCAGCTCTTATCTCAAATAACAACTTAAAAGAGACTGTTTGACCAACACAAGGATTGTTAAAAGATTCATGTTAAAAAGATAAAAAAATAAAAAAAACAAATGAAAACTACAGACAAAAGTTCATTTTCTCCAGCAAAAGACATTCATTTCTGTAGTTTACTGCTACCAGCAAGCAGAAATATTTCTCCTCCCGATGATGGCCATTTCGGTCGAAACTAGTCGAGGAATCTAAATGGAATAATAATAAAAAAACGAAAGAATATTAATCTACAACCCAGTGTGTCTAAAGATTTTAATTTTTTTTATTTTTTTATTGTTCAAAATATATATATATATATATATATATATATATATATATATATATATATATACAAATATAGGTAACTATACTCGTTTCGAAAAAACCTTCGAATTTTTGATTTGCCAATAATCAAATCAATCCCGAGGGAAAAAAAGGTTTTTAAAAAAGAAAGAGCTAGAAACATGAAAGTCTGTCGACAAAAATCGCACAGATACAGGTTTAAGGTCCAAAGAAAAAACCCCGACACGAGTAAACAACTAAAAGAAAAAAAACTAACAACCGTAGAATAAAACCGTAGAACTTACCCAGGTTTCACCTAAGCAGATCGTCAGGGAATGCTTTCCCTGACGATCCGTTTAGGTGAAACCTCGGTAGGTTTGTCTGGCTCATTAGGTTTATCTATCTATCTACAGTGTAACCCGGATATAAGAGACCCGGATATAAGAGAAACCCGGATATAAGAGAGATTTTCTCTGGTTCCAAATTAGAGCCTGTGTTAATGTATATAAATTAGACCAAACCCGGATATAAGAGAAACCCGGATATAAGAGAAACCCGGACATAAGAGACTTCTTCTCCGGTCCCGGCAACTCTCTTATATCCGGGTTACACTGTATCTATCTATCTATCTCTCTCTCTTTCTCTCTCTCTCTCTCTATATATATATATATATATATATACAGAGAGAGAGAGATGAATAGATTGGGATTAAAAAGACAGCTAGTTGTTTCTTACCTATCTATCTATCCTTGGTCCCGTTCTGAGTTGTAATTTTCATTAATGACCTCCCCGCTGATATCAACTCTGAACTTGGTATCTACGCTGATAGTACAATCATTTACTCCTGCCCCAATAGTAATGCCTATCAGTCTGACAAGGTCAAAATGCTAACCTAAAGGAAATTGACTCGATGCGCCTTCTATGACTAACGTTCTCAGCTGACATGTAGTGAAAAGACTATATCGAATTCATTGCTAGGCCTTCTGCCAAGAAAATTGATTCATTGTGTCGTGCAAGACAATTTTTATCTCCAGAAATTTATCTTACATATCTATAAGTCTACAATTCGTCCATACTTAGACTATTTCTCTCACATATCTCCCAGTGTCCTTGCTATTTAGCTCCTTGATAAAATACAAAGGATTATCAGCAATATTATTAGTACTGATCTGGCAGCTCTGCTCCAGTCACTTTCCAACAATCCTAAGTTTGCCTTTCTGTGTATTTTCTATAAATATTTTCATGGTAATTGTTCAGATGAGTTCTTCGTTATGGTACTAGTTTTTAAATTGTTGTTTTATTACCCTAGCCCCACAGACAATGAATTGTACTTATGAGGACTAATTAGGATTTTCATAGAGACATTGAGGTATTATGGTGAATGTAGTAAGAAAGGGAGGTAAGAATGTATTGTTTTGTTGTTATGAATGTTGTTGTATTTTGGGGTCAGTGTTTGTGGCTAGCTAAGTTTAAAGTTAAGACAGATGAAGGCCGTCCTTTTCACCATTCCCCATTTTGGCCTTGTGCTACATTTTGGAACTATTTAAAAATAAATATAGATCTTCGCTATGAATGATAAATATGGGGACTAGTTAGGACTTTCACAGAGACATAGAGGTATTATGGTGAATGTAGTAAAAATGGTAAGTAAGAATGTGTTGTTTTGGTGTTATGAATGTTGTTTGTATTTTAGGGTTAGTGTTTGTAGCTAGCTAAATTTAATGTTAAGACAGATGAAGACCGTCCTTTTTTTCCGCACTCCCCATTTTTGGCCCTGTGCCACATTTTCTGTTTTTAATACGGAAATAAATGCCACTCTTCGTTATGGTACCTAGATCTAATCAATTTAGAGTGGAGCTGGCTAGATGTAGCCGTAGGTTCTATGCTAATTTTCTTTTTTCGCAATTCTCGCGTATGAAACCCCCTTCCGACTGCAATGCTTTTCAGCCAACTTTTTAAAAATTTAAATCCAATGTCAATCGCTATCTACTCTCCGCCTGATCACTCTTTTCTACTCTCGCTCATTTTTTTTTTAATGTTTCTGTTCTTAATTCTTCCAAACCCTGTAACCTCTTTTGTCTTGGTGGCTTTACTGCCTTCCGTGTGTTGATACTGATTTTTTTTTTTTTTTAATCTGTCCTCTATTGCCGTTCCTGGAACGAATGTATGATGACGGCGAATTTAGACTTTGAAGAGGTAGGAGAAACATCTAGTAGTCTTTTCTTTAAATTAGCGGTTTGGTGAAGAATCTGTCGAATGGTACTTCTGGGTATGACCTAAAACTCCACCAAACAATGGAGTCTCGTCTAGGGGGCAGTATTAGGGTACGCCAAACTATTGTTACCTACGGGTGATCCCTGGCTAAGATCTAGCGCCTTTTTGCC